AAAAAAAACTACTTGTCCAAGGGCTTAAGTGGGGGCCGAATCTACTTGCCCTTCGTGACAATTTACTTGTCCCAATACAAAAAAATTGTTTTAATCAAAACTAGGGATGCACCAATGCCGGTTTTTCGGTATCAAGTACGAGTACCGATATTTTGCTTTTGGTACTTGCCGATACTGAATATCAATACCGCTGCTTGGAGCAGGCTTCCCGGGTAATCAGGAAGCCGGCAACGGGTAATGACATGCCGCCCTGCTTCCTGATTGCCAGGGAAGCCGGCTCCGTGTTGTCTGGCCGGCTTAATTGTGATTGGCCGGGAAACCTTCTTAAATAAAATATTAACCGTTCTGTAAGCAAAACTTATTTTCTGGCAGTGCCCCTCCCGAGAATAGACTCTGGATCCGCCCCTGCTAGTGTCTGGACTACCTTTCTGTAAGCTCTGTTTCAAGTTGACCCCTAAAATTGGAGTTAGCCCCAAGGGGTAATAAAAAAAAAATCCTGGAGTTCTTCTTTAAGGGTTTGCTGCCTGTATTTACTAGTCACTGTGGCTTCAAACACAAACCTAAGAATTTCTTTTGCAGGCGTTTTGAGGTAGCACAATCCAGTACACAATAAAACATTCAGCCTCATAGCTATTTATAAAACATTTTGGGTTAGATAGACCTGCAGGCTGTTCCAGCACAGCCTACGTGCAGTCTCTGAGCTCAACCACGCTGCTGCTGGCTGTGCGTGTGCCCGGACAGTGCTGATGTGCTTGATTAAGCTTTTTTTTAGCACTCATTGAAATGTCACAAGTGACATTTCATTAAGTTCCGTAGGCTCACTGCAGTGCAATGTGATTGTACTGCGTCTCACTGCAGTGCACTTAAAGTACTGCAGGCTGTACTTTTTTTAATTGCACCCCAAGGGAATGCAGCGGTGTTAACTGTCACCACCCATGACAAAGCAAATTGTCTTGTTTTGTGCTCAGGCTGCGCTGGGGAAAACTGAGAGCACAACCCAAATGCAGATCATGTGAACAAGCCCTCATGCACGACACACCCATGCTTATCCCAGAGAAAACTTTTTATTTTATACCCCAGGTGAGGCAAAGGGCGCACCCAGTTCTTAATGCCTTTCATACTGCTACACAGATCTGTCACTACTACCAGCTTATCTTATAAAGCACCACTGTCTCTAGGCCACAGTTAAACCCCATTCAAGATTCATTCCTGGACCTAAAGAGGCTGTTTGTCACAACACGCATACATTGTATATTGCATGCTCTGTTAAATAGAGTTATAGGCTTATCTGCAAAGAATGTTTATTTTTACTTTCAAAAGTATGTCGTCTGTTAGGTTCTCTTGCTAAAGTGAAAAAAAATAAAGCAAATATGTTTTCTATAGTGATCAAAGCATTTCACAATCATGCCGATGTATTTTAAACTGAGGGACAAGAATGTAATTATATATGGTCTGCAGGCTGTTTTGGCAAATGGCAGTATATTTTTCCATGTCGCATAAATGTTCAGTGCGTGATATTATAGAAGCTTGTGACAATGATTTGGATATATTAGTAAAGGTGTTATTTGTAGTATGTAGAAGGCATTTACATGCTGGTAAAAGGGTTGAACCATTCCTCTCAAAAGTCTGTCATTTGAAGGGCCTTTTCTTTTAGAACCAAATCCCTTTGTCCCTCTTTCTTCCTCTGTTGTCTCTCATTTTGGTCTGATGTACGGATATCTATGAAAAGGTACTATTTAACTACCAAAATTGTTCTGCACTATATCTCTAAATTATCATGTTTGCTATGTGAAAATCCAGAATACAGGAAATGTAACGGTGGAAACAATTCTGGATATAATCTATCATTATTGGCATATCAAATCTTCATGGTCCACCTAACTGGGAATGTGGTAGGGGTGCATCCATTGCCTAAAACATTGAGCTGGAAGGTGTCCCTCTTTCTCATCACGGAAAGTTGGGAGGAATGGTTGACCATAGATTGATGTCCTTCAACTACTACTTTTCCTTTTTTTTATTTGAGGTTTAAAAAACAACAACAACTTAATAAAGGTTAGATAAAAGGTTTGCAACTAATTAGGTTAATTGGCAACAGATCAGTAACATGATTAGCTTTAAAAAGAGCATCTTAAGGTGCCCATACACCTTACAATTATCTGCAGATTTTCTGTGGTCAGATGGAAAAAGTGCAACAGATTGGCTTAGGTGGAGATTACTCCATCCACACAGTTGAGTGTAGATGGAGGAATCTGTTGCACCCTTTACATCTGACCACAGAAAATCTGCAGATAATTGTAAGGTGTATGGCCAGCTTTAGAGAGTCGGAGTGTCAGAGGTTCAGCAATCTGTCAGAAGCTGCATCTACAAATTGTCAAATAATTTCAAAATAATGTTTCTCAATATAAAATTGCAAAGACTTTAAACATATCATTATCTACAGTACATAATATCAAAAGATTCCAAAAATCTGTAGAAATCTCTGTACGGTAGGGTCCAGGCCGAAACGCAGTATTGGATGCTCATGATCTTTGGGCCATCAGACAGCTCTGCATTAAAAACAGACATGATTCTGTGATGGACATCACTGCATGGGCTCAAGAATACTTCCAAAATGCACTGTCTGTGAATAAAGCTCGCAGTGCCATCCAAAAATACAAGTGAAAGCTCTATCAAGTAAAGAAGAAGCCATATCTGAACATAAACCATAAACGCTGCCGTCTTCTCTGGGCCAAAGTTTATTTACAATGGTCTATCGCAAAATGGAAAACTGTTCTGTGGTCAGACTAATCAAAATTTGACATTTTCTTTTTGGCAACCATTTGGGCCGCGTCCTCCGGACTAAAGAGGAGAGGGGCCTTACGGCTTGTTATTGGCACTCAATTAAAAAGCCTGCATTTCCGATGGTATGGGGGTGCATTAGTGCTTATGGAATGGGCAGCTTGCACATCTGCATTCTATATTTATGTAGATTTGGGGTTGTACATTTTTATAGAGATTTATACACCAAAACAGGGACAGTTGAGAAAGAAAGAAGGACACATGGATTTGGTTTCAAAAGAGGGACCGTCCCTCCAAATAAGTGACAAATGCGGAGTTATGCATTGGCCTATGCATCTACACATATACAACCTTCACAGAGATGGATCTTTCAGTGAGCTCACAAGATAATGTTATTTATCTACCGTCATTTACAGTACATGGACATCCAACACTGTAAGACAAACGACTGACTTTTAAGTAGATATTGTCCAACAATATTGTTTTCTTAGCCAGTTTCTGGGATCTAAGTCCTGTTGGCCACAGATTACCATAAATGATGGTGGCTTTGGATGTGATCAGTATCTATTTATCCTAAGAAATTACCAGATGGATGAGGTAGAATAGATATCTTGTTTTACAATTGCTGATTTAATGAACATGTTAGGAGAACACACAAAAGAAGCACTGCTCCTCCACGGCTCAGGTAAGGAAAGACAGGCCTGGAGAACAAGGAAGGGAAGGAATTGTGTGGAGGGACAGCATGACAGAGGGAGAAGGGGACCTAGACACAAAGGGTTAGGTTTAGTTCAGAGAGAGTTTAGAAGGAGGAGTTGCTTACCAGATTGGATGAAAGATCTGTAGGGAGGGATTTTCTAAAGGGTGGTCTGTGGAGAGGTGGAAGAAGTTTTTAGTCAAAGAGGTTGAAGACAGCATGAGTTTTACTCCCACCCACCCTCTTTTTCCATCTAGGTGTTGGACCCTCCTTGAGTCTTTCGTCACGGCAGTGGTTTTGGAGGTTTGGGGTCCTTGAAGGTGGTCTGGATGGCTGCTGTATTGGAGTAATGGTTGGGGGCCCATCGTAGGTGTGTCCCTTAAGTGGTGGTCAAATGGTTTTGACCACTTAGTTTTTTGCTGAAAGTGTCTGTGGTCAACAGATATTTGTTATTGTGGCTGGGGGCCTGTGGTTAGTGATCTGGGGTCGAATACTTAGGTTATGGGCGGCTTCCTTACATTATGTGCCTTCAAGGTCCTGGAAACAAGTTGTGTAATTATATAGTTGTTAAGTTATTACACATTTATTTATAATATTTAATTTTGATATTTAATGAAAGAGTGGCTGTAGTCCTTGAAATCCATACACGTCTAATGCGTATTTTTGAGGGAAATTGGGGGAAGGGTGGGGCTTCTGAAACACCCTTGTCATGAGCCGGGTGCTTGCCGCCTGGAGCACATTCTCACTCCAATATGAGCACAAACAAACAGAAGAAAAGCTGGCCTCACAATGGATTCCTTGTGCGGCCAGTTTTTTTTTCTGGTTTAATGAACATGTTGTCAGAAATAAATATATTATAATACTACCAAAGTATTTGTCTTTAATAGTGCATAGGATATATTTATCAGTTTTTAAATGAGCAAACACAAATAGGACAAACACACCTTGCACTATTGTGGGAAACACACGATTGTATTTGACAAACAGGGTTAAACTGAATAATGGTCCAGAGAAATGTGAAAGCTGTCATTGCTGATCTCCTTTTGAGAAATATAAGTTGCCTGGCTGTTATGCTGACTCACAGGTCATATTTTGCATGCACACAGGAGTTACATTGTCCCCAGCACAGAGCTCCATTCCCAGCATATTACAGATGCTGTAAAGGAGCCGGGTGTGCCGCATGTGCCATACAGTGTACGCAAACAATAAAAACTGCTCGAGGTGAGAAGCAGCTGTTTTTTGGCAGAAGAGATATGCACAATCTTAAAAAACTCTACTCAGAAACTACCGTAATTCTTATCTTTGTCAAGGACCACATGGCCTACTATTAGAAGATTTCTAAATTAGACACAGATAAGCCTTTCACATGTCTTTTGATTTTATGCTCATCACTAAAGGTGATGATTACAAGCAAAGTTATTTTTGAAAGGAGTGTTCCTCTTCAGTTCTTTGTTTAGTGCGCCAGTGATAAAAAACTGTTTTAATGTTTTTTGCTCTTCTTCATCATCATTTTGCTCTCTCTCTGCAGAGCTGGATCCCCAAGTTATTTAAAAAGAAAACATGTACCACATACTTAGAAGACAACGAGCCCAACAGGTGTGTTGCTCTTTACAACTTTTTATTGTTAGCTACTTTGTTTGTAATTGTTTTACCAGTGGATAAATACTGCTGTTCTGAGATGTTCTTGTGTAGAATCAATAAGCACTTTATAACAGAACTAGATGTTTAGTGCATTTTACTTACTACAAAATATATTATCTATGCAATAGAAAAAAAAATAGTGAAAAAAACTGTTTATTCAGTTTCCATGATTTTAACAATCATACATGTAAAATAATGAAAAACGATGGGAACTGTATGTGGCTGCTCCTGATCCTCGCTGCTGAGCAAGTCTGCATCAAACAAACAAACTAGAGGGGGCTTTGCCCCTTTTGCAGTCTTGTGGATGCAATATAGGGGGCTGGCACAGATACAGTATAACTCCCACTGACAATCAGTGAAATAAAAGCAATATATAAGGGTTTTATGTATATTTTCAATATTTTTTTTTTTAAGTCACGTATATATCAATTATTACATAGGCATATTTACTTGTTGTATTCTCATTTTCATCCAGCAGGTCTGGCTAAACAACTTATGCTGTGTAAATTCTGCTGTGTAAATCCTTAGTAGATGTAAAACCCTAAGGCCTGGTTCACACCTGTACGTTTTGTAGCGCGTTCAACGCTCTACAAACGCTCTACAAAACGCTCAAACATGAAAATCCCATTGTTTTCAATGGGTATGGTTCACACCTTGCCGTATTTCAGCCCGTCTGAACGCGCTACAAAACGGCCTACGCCTGAAAAGGTACATGAGCTTCTTTGCGGCGTTTTTGTTCCGCGTTTCCATTGGAATACAGCCAAGTAGCCCTCGGAAATGCGCGTTTATCGCACGTTTTTTACCGCGATTCGCGCGACAAACGCGCATATTCGATACGCCTAGGTGTGAACAGAGCTTAGGATGTCGTAGCACAGCAGCAATGGGAGGCAATGGTGTCAGCAGACATGTGTTATAGCCAAAATTACATTCAATACCACACTTATCCTAGAAGAAAAAGTTCATGTTGCACCCATGTAGCAAAATGCTAGATAAACTGACATGGACACAAGAGCGTCTGTATAGCATTTTGTACTTTATTAGGATACACAAACTGATATTTAGATCCATAATCATTAATAATGTATTTTTGGCATTTCTAGGTGTTAACAACTCATTAATTATGTATATTAGATATATTGTCAAATCATTAGTACGTGAAAATTGTTTTAAAACTTAAGTTACGTGTGCTTGGCTCAGAATAATTATTATCGGCAGTATATAACCTAAACCCAGCCACAAGTTCCCAAAGCAATGATGAGAAAAAGAAAATACACAAGTTAGGCCTCGTTCACACCAGCCACAGTGCGTCCCGGCCCGATTCTGGCTGGAACACACTGCATCGCATTGTGGCCGGCTCACTATGTTCTGGGGCAGGAGGGAGATCAACCTTTAGCACACTTCAGTTTAAGGCCTCTTCAGTTTAGCACACTTCAGTTGATGTGCCTTGCTTTCCCGTGGGGCCAATCGCATTGCGGCCGGAGGGTGTGGTTACGGTGCCATTCACTTCAATGGACCACCACGCTCCCTCCTGGCCCAGAACATAGTGAGCCATCTGCAATGCGATGCAGTGCGTTCCGGCCAGAATCGGGTTTAGTGTGAACGAGGCCTTAAACTGAAGTGTGCTAAAGGTTGATCTAAATTAAAGTGGTGCTCTGAGTTTCCATAATATCTTTGTCACATGCTAACAAGAAACATGCTGAAAGAAAGATAGTGTAGTGTGAGTAAAGAGGCAACCTCATCATTCTGCTGCTGCTTTTGCACTGTCTATTAAATGCCAATAAAAATGATTAATCCGCTTGGAAGTTTTCTTCCACTGATCTAGTGTGTGGCTCTGAGATGTCATTTGTCTGAACGCAGGGAGCCAGAGAAAAAGTTGATGCATGAAAACTTTTCTATTCCTGGTAATGTGATTGCAGTTCTGAACAGGGACGAGCTAGCTTTATAATGTTTAGCATCTGTCACAGACTTCCTTCTCTGGATAAGGTCCAAATGTGGGAAAAGACAGTTCTGGCATTGAAAGGGAGCTTGAGCTATTGGAACAGGTAGCTCAAGGGTGGATTCCAAATAGAAACAGGAGGGTTTGGTCCACAAAGGGCAGAGTGTGGAGTCAAGAAGGGCTATAGTGGATGTAGTTTTTGCTGGTGCAGCATGTGTGAGGACACACTGGGGCATGTGTCTAGTCCTGCCTGACCTTACAAATGGGAACTGTATTGAGACAGACTTCTGAGGGAAATGACAGTGATTAAGTGGCTGAGAGCCTGTACAGACCAATCTGGATGGTAAAATAGCCCAGAGGCTGTACAGTGGCTGCATCAAGCTGAAACTGCGAGGGTAATCTTTAATTTGTCTGCTTCAGTGTGAAATAAAAGTGGTCTGGAAGCCCTAAAATGCTTTCTGGTGGGGGGACGGAGTGCTTGCAAGCTCACTCTCTGATGCTAACCCATTCAGTATTTAAACTGCCCCCCCTTCCCCCCTTTATATATCTTTCACGGGACTGTAGTTATACAGAATAAATTCTGTGCTCTTCTATGGAACTGCAGCACAGAATACACTCTAATCTGCCTGGTCTCCACTGTTCAGCTCTGTTGCATCCTCTCTGCCCCACCCCCACACTTCAGATTCTTTCTTTCTCTCTTCTAGCCGTCTTACTGACTCCTGCTGGCATTTTTCCACTACAAGGCAGGGGTGGATCCAGAGTCTATTCTCGGGAGGGGCACTGCCAGAAAATGAAGTTTTGCTTACAGAACGGTTAATATTTTATTTAAGACGGTTTCCCGGCCAACCACAATTAAGCCGGCCAAACAACATGCAGCCGGCTTCCCTGGCAATCAGGAAGCCGGTTGGCATGTCATTACCTGCTGCCGGCTTCCTGATTACCCGGGAAGCCTGCTCCATGACAGTGGAAGCACCGGTATTGGTATTCAGTATCGGCGAGTACCAAAAGCAAAATATCGGTACTCGTACTTGATACCGAAAAACCGGCATTGGTGCATCCCTAGTTTTGATTAAAACTATTTTTTTGTATTGGGACGAGTAGATTGTCATGAAGGGCAAGTAGATTTGGCCCCCGCTTTAGCCCTTGGACAAGTCGTTTTAAAAAAAAAAATTCCACACCCCTGATTACACAACAATGCAGACTGCCAACAGCTATAGAGAACTACGATTCCCAGCAATACCATTATACAGCAATGCAGAATAGCATCAGCAATAGAGTACTACAAATCCCAGCAATACCCTTATACAGCAATGCAGAATAGCATCAGCAATAGATGACTACAAATCCCAGCAGTACCATTATACAGCAATGCAGAATACCATCAGCAATAGAGGACTACATCGCTCCCGAAGGTGAGTATTTAAAAAAAAATGTTTTATTTTATGTACCCGGGGACATGTAGGGCTCATTCACACTGGAATCGGCCGGCATGTACAGCTCCGTGCTGCGTGCACAGCTGTATCGGGCAGCTCCCGGGAAGGACCTGTGCTGCGTGTGATTAGTACACAGCCCCTGTCCTTCTGTATGGGAGTATGCAGCCGTACACCTGGGGGGGGGCAATTGCCCCATTGCCCCCCCCTGGATCCGCCACTGCTACAAGGTCCATGTCCTTTAAAATGATACCTATTTTTTACCATGCCTATCAATCACTACTGCGCTTGGCTACATCAGACATCCCAACTCTCCCGTGTGCTCCGGGAGTCTCACGCTATTGGATAGCGGCTCCCGGCCGCCCGGGAGAGAAACACTTCCTCCCGGAAAGGTTTATCTGCTCGATCGAGCAGATAAACCTTTCCCTGCGATCGTTTTTTTTTTCTTTTCTGACATCGGGAGCCGCGGCCCGACCATCAGTCAGAAAAGAAAAAAAAGGCATACAAATCCATAGCTAGATTCCTATTGGCTATTGCACGCAATAGCCAATAGCAAACTAGGTAATGTACCCGCCCACTGCTGCTGTCAATCAGCAGAGGGGGACCTGAATTTTTCTATCAGGTCCTCTTCTGGTGATTGAAAGCAGCAGAGGGCGGGTGCAATAGCTAGTTTGCTATTGGCTATTGCAAAGTGCAATAGCCAATAGGAATCTATCTATGCATTCTTATGCCTTTTTTTTTTATATTCTGACGACTGCAACTGTCAGAATACTAAAAACAAAATCAGAAAAAAAACCTGCAGATAGCAAAGAAGCTATTGCTTCCTGAATGGGTCACTTTCTGTAGCCCACAGGCAGGGTCAATTGGTTATCTATGTCCCCAAGGCCAAAAGTTCAAAATCGTTTCATGCTTTTTCTCATCCATGTGCCTCGCACCATGTGACAGCACTGATGCTTGGTGATTGGCCCTGTCTATGCTTAGGCTCTGTGTATGATTAGGCTGACAATCTGATAGTCTTGCAAGACTTCAAACATCAAAACTAATGGTGGCTAAGCATTCAGTTATCCTCTAATGAATTTGCTTTGCTTGTGAGTGAGCAAATGAATTAGATTATCTATGCACTGATCTATGATGGGAATTGCACAAGGATAGAGACTGTGCTCAAAATGAATAGACTCTCCAATAGTTTTCATAGTTAATTACCAGTTTCTAAAGTCCTGACATACCAATGCATTCTTACTAAGAACTGAAGTTACTTCCTCCTGTCCATCTATTCAGAGTGATTGGGGGCTGTGGGGAAATAAGTCAAATTCTTTGAAAGCATACATTCATTAGGTCTTAAACATTCTCCTGATCTCGAGATTACTGGGCTTATTTTGGAAATGTCAACTCTGTCATAGGCAATACTCAGAATCAGCATTCCAGGATAGAGCCATAGCTAGTAAAAGAAATTGAGGACACGGAGTCCTCAATCTCTTTTTCTGCAGACTCTGTTCTAAATGAATGTAAAGTACAGAGGTTTCCCATTCATTCAGAAAATATTTTCTATCAACCCATTTCTGAATGGGGAGAAGCCTCTGTCCAGAGTGCTACAACCCATTCATAAACTTACGAATGAACAGGAACTAATGTATAGCACTTCCTGTTCATTCATAACTGGGGACACATAGTACTATGTGTCACCAGTTGTTTACAAACACTGGAGTGATCAGCTGATTGCTCCAGTGTTTGCTCTGCACACAGAGGATCAGTACATATCACTGATATTTACCAATCCTCCGCTGCTCGGCCACGCACAGAGGGGCAGCACAGCCTGTAGCTTTTCATCTGGATCCCCGCTGCTCTCTCCTGCCAGTATGGGCAGAGGCAGTGGGGATCCCAGGGGAAGTGAATCGGGGGGAGGGGGTGGAGGAGGGAGCCGCTGTCACAGCAGCATGGCCGAGCAATGAGGTGAGAGAGCCGCTGACTGTCAGATCCTGGCCGAGCGTCTCTCTCTTTCTCTCCTCACTGCTCAGCCATGCTGCTGTGACAGCGTCTCCTTCCTCCAATCCACTCACCCCTCACTGTCTGCAGCGCTTCACTACTCCTTGGATCCCCGCTGCCTCTGCCCATACAAATGTGGGAGAGCAGCTGGGATCCAGAGGAGACGCTGCAGGCTGTGCTGCCCCACTTCTCAGTGTCCTGCTGAGCCCTGGCTGCACGCCCCCGCACCTGCACCCGAGGCGAGAGCCTCAGTCACCTCGCCCTTGCTACGGCCTTTAAACATTGCATATTTTTTAGTTCTCTTCATAGACCAAAGCTGAAAGTTGTTCTCCTAGCCTACTCCTAATAAATGCAGGTATGTCTATACCTAGTAAACAGGTAAACGTTAGTGAAAAGTTAGTGGGTTAAGCTATGGTGTAGTTTTATCAAATAGCTTGGCTGATGAGATCCAGCTCATTTGTCGAACCCCAGCAGGTCTAATCAGTCCTGATCTGTCATAGAAAGTATGTAAATCTGTTTTGAGGGCCCAACATTTGCATGGCCAAACAATAGACACTGATGCTTAAATGTATTTCTCTAGGGAGTTTTACCTGAACCATTACCGAACCAGTATTCTGGCTAAAAACATACTATTTGCTACCACCTCATGAAACATGACACTGACTAAGCTGTCAATAGGAGAACATTCAATAAGAATTAACATTACTCTTCCCGTTCTCATTCATTTCAGCAGCAAGGTCATGATAACTTTATGATGGAACAAAAGTGTTTTCTGTTCGTATTATGTTCATTCATTTATTTTATGATACAGAAAAGAAGAAATGTGCCAATGTGGTCTGGCCAAGCAGAATCATGTGTCAGTAGCCGTAGAGGACAACTTTGGAGCAGCCATTGTGAGCACCTGGAACTCTGTAGAGCATACGACAGAAGAGCCCACGGATGCTTATGGTGATATTGAATTTGTCGGTGCTGGTAAGAAGCATAGCAAGGTGAGAATTTTCATTAATTCAGTCTAGTGCCTCAGTAGGATACTTGAAAATAAGAAATTGATGATGTTAATCTAGGTTAGTAGGCAAGTTCCCCACACATGAGTTACATAATATTACATAAAACAGTGATGTGTGTCCACCAAGAGAAATATTCTACAGGTTCATGACTAAGCAATCTCTAGTATCTGGGAAATACAAAGCAAAACAGAGCGCCTCCATCGTGTAAAAAGTCATTTATTTATACGGCAACACAGCTGAAATTATACTCACAAAAAGGGTCGATCAATAAAAGCAAGTAAAAGGCGATGCAATGGAAATCTCTGGCAGCGGGAGTCCCACAGAATGAAACAGATCAACGGTCCTCTACCCCTATGAGTTTGAACAGTCTACGCGTTTCAGGGGCACGCCCCCTTCATCAGAACCTCAAGAATCACCTTTTACATGCTTTTATTGATCGACCCTTTTTGTGAGTATAATTTCACCTGTGTTGCCGTATAAATAAATGACTTTTTACACGATGGAGGCGCTCTGTTTTGCTTTGTACTTCCCAGATCGAAGGTCTATTTGACCGGTGGGAGCTGCCTCATCTGTGTATCTACAAAACGTCCAAATTGGCTATTCTCTTGCAACCGGCGGCGGCGGTATTTGTTTGGTTGTTACATCTCTAGTATCCTTCAAATTTACAGAGGACCTAAACTGTGGAAGCTATACTCAAAACAAAGTAAGCAGAATGTAAATAACTAGTCCCCAGTATTTCCTGCGGACTCCTTGCAGCTGATCTTTTTTCCCCATTACTGATTTACCATGCCTTTTTCATGCCTTTTTCTGCACTATGTCTCTCTGTGGAGGCAGCCATTTTGGTAGAGGAACAGGGCTTTGCTTTTTGATGCCAAAGCTGCACCCCTAATTACTGATGATCTTAAAACTGGAAGGGGTTAAAATAATTGAAACCGAAAACTGGTAGGGGAATATTCAAGATGCAGCAAGAGAGGTGCAGAAATCATATACCCACAATCAAAGAAAGAAAAAAGCAGAAGCAGAGATCTTTGGACAGGTTAACATTACTAAATGTGATTCTAAGTCGCATGCGACTGGTAGTCAGAGGCAGCAGGGCCTTAGATGATCTCACACTACAGATACCTGTTAGGCTCACAGCACAGGAAGTGCACTGTTATTTTTCAGATGGTGTTCAAGACGAAAGCATTCAGTGTATGCTTTGGCTCAATGAAAATATCTAGATGTTTCCTATAAGATAGTATATCTTCAGTTTGAGTTCAGGTCCACTTTAACAAATGCCAGGAAGAATTTCATATTTTTCACATTTCAAATAGGACATGCCAGGCATGGTTGGAATATATTTATTGACTGGAAATGTAATTATCTGGAAAAAATAAATCAGGGCAACTGGAATTGCTGTATTTGTCTTGAAGACATTTAATTGGTCATCCGACTAGCTTTCTCAGTTCAGAATGATGAAGATGAAAAGATAGTCAGATGACCAGCAAAACGTCTTCAAGAAAAATACAGCAAGTACAGTTGCCTTGATTTATTTTTTACAGATATACCATGACCTGGGTGAATGAGAACCTTCATAGACATATGGAAATGTAATTCTTTTCCTATGTTTACTTATTTTATCCAATAATCCTCTGTTCTGGAGTCCCTATAGACCAGGGGTCTCAAACTCAATTCACTTGGGGCCACTGTAAAAATGTCTTTCTCCCATGGGGACCGCTTGCCAAATTTCATACTTCACACAAACACAGAGATACGCGCACCCACCCCCCCAACCAGAATTACAAATGCATATACACACACACAATAAGGCCCCATTAATACCTGTAAGTTTTTAGGGATTCCTGTGATTAGGGATTCCTGTGTCAGAAATTTGCGTTTTCCTGCAGCAGAAATCTTTAATGTGGCGCTTACAAGCGGCAACTGTCACCCATTCAAGTTAATAATCAGGTGACAACCGCTGCATGTAAACGCCGGCACACTGCATGTAATCGTATGTGATAAAATTACATGCGATTTAGAAATCAACCACTATCCCTGAATGCAAGATCGATGCGTCTATGATTCCACATAAAATTATTTGCTCTCCCTCATTCCCTGCCCCCTCCCACACAAACACACACACACACACAAAAGAACAAAGCGCCCCCTCACATGCTTATATCTTTGCAGGGAGGAGGCACATCATTCCCTGGTGATCTAGTGGTGATTAAGGCCTGGTGCTGACTTTACTAATCCATCCTTTCGGCCGGAGCTCAGAGTTCCGGCCGAAAAGAACTGAGCACACAGCCAGCAGCATCTATGTGGTCTGCTTCTGACAGTGTAGCTGCTCAAGCAAGTCGGGTACGCGGTTCGTGACCACGTACCTGACTTGTCAGCTGGTTGCGGGCCAGTACTTTGAGACCCCTGCTATAGACAGTCTTTCAACAACTTTCACAATTGTTTCAAAAAACATAGAGCAATGCCCTATTTTACCATGTATTCCAACACCAGGCTATAGATCTACACGCAAAAAACACAAGTGTCCTCCAGAAACACCCCTATAAAAATTGCCTCAGAGCACAGTCTTGGACATATTTCATAGAACTCTAAGGTGGTGATGCTTTAAAAATAGGCCCCTAGAGGGAAACAGTGACCCCGTACAGTTTTGGGAAACTGAGTTGATTCCTTTAAGGCCACATAAACAACAGAATGTATATTTAGCAGTTACCAAGCATGAGTTTGTTTGTTTTTTGTGGAAAGAAATTAGATGTGGAGCCTGAACCTCTGTTAAGACACACAAAACTGTAGTTTCATACTGCTGTGCACTACCCTTTTAAGGGCTGTTTTCCCACCACCCCTTATTTTAAACACCTGAACATCCTGTACATGCCTATTACCATATGTAGCTGAACAACAAATTTGTGTGCAGAAATATTTGCTAAAGTTTGTACAGGAATGTCAGTTATAATCTTGTTCTGTAAATAACTATTTGAATGGTTCAAGTTCTAGGAGACAAACACTTCAACTCTGAGCTACTGATCACTGTGACAATGGCTGATTGAGGAAGCAATGTTGCAAAATAACTGCTTTGTCTTTGAACATTTACCACACATGCGTCTCCATTGAAATCCGTGACTCCTCTGGGGATTCCACTATTAGCTTTGACTGTCCTAATCCTGTTACATGTACTAGCTGTTAGTTCTTTAACTGGTACTTATACTGTTTTTTCTGGGCCAAACTGTGGCAAGTATGCAGGATTAGTACAGCACAACACTAGATACTAGCTGGTCTTATCACTCAATAATAGTTGCCTGTGCAGAAAAGCAAAGTGGAGGGTCAGTGCATCAGACATCCAAAGAACTTTGTTTGCCATCTTTCTTGGGAAAGCAGCTGATTGGTACTTTGCTAGCTGATCTCCCCAAGGTAGCCATTTGGGTAATGTACACATTTTTCCTAGAACTAGATGGACCCTTCATGCATATCAAGCCTGGCTCACCTCCAGCTCATGTGTACCTTGTCTTTCGGCTCTTATCTTCCGGTCCCAGGCTTAACCCTGGCAAGTTGGAGGTGCCAACTTGCAGTAAGTCCTCCCTGACATGTACTCGTGCTCCGTCCTGCTCAAGTCAGGATGAGGAGATAGCCAGCCATTCATATTTCCAGGCACTTGGGTATGTGCGTTCTGGAAGTGCATTTTCAGGGGTACAAGTTTTGTTCCATGTTGTGATGTTTTCTTGTTACCCCAGGAACTGTTAGATCCCTGGTGGACACTCTGCCTGGGGAAGGGGTCCTGTGAGGCTCCGAAACATTGCATTCACATGTCATGCTAAAGGAATACGAATAAAGATGACATTCTAAAGCAGAATGGTGTGCGGAGAACATATCTTCTAGACTTTGTGTTATTCTGTGACGGTTCTCTGCCTCTCCCAAATTAAATTTCAGACCCGAATCCCAAAAAACAAAATAAGGAAACATCTGAAACAAAACGAAATTAAACAAAACATTTTTTTTGCTGGTGCAAATGTCTATTGACCACCACTCCTGAATTTGAGGAGTGCCCTGTAGCCCATCCAAACATGGCAGGCTGCCATCTATCATCACTAACTACAAGCCCTGGAGTGAGAATGACCTACTTGACAAGAACGCTGTGGAGCAAGGCTAACATGACAATCCTGTGCAATCCTGGCTTGTGGACACAAAGGAATATGACTATCTAAATACAAAGGGGACCTGTCCCATGCCCCGGCCCGGATTCCCCACAAGGCCACCGAGGCACGGCCTCGGGGCGGCAGGGCGCAGATCTCGGCAATGTCGCCGAGATCACATGTAAAAAGTCTGCAGCCGGTCGGTCCGTCCTCCCCTCCCCCTGCACTTACCTCTTTCTTCTGGTTCTGGGCTCCGCCGCCGAGTCTGTCTCTTCACTGGCCGCTGATGCAAACTAACCCTGCCGCTCCGTCTATACAGTGGGAGGGGAGAGCTGTGCTCTTCCTCTCTCACCTGTCACAGGAGTTCCTGCACAGTGCTGTGCTAGAACTCCTGTATTGGAGGTGACAGGGTCAATAAAGAGAACCTGTCACCTCCAATTGCTATCACACAGGGGATTGTTTTATCCTGTGTGATGGCAATAAAGTTAGGTGGAATTTTTTTTTAATTGATTAAAAAAAATTAAATACAAATTAAAACAAATAATATGAAAGAATTAAATTAGAAAAGTCCATTCTCCATTTATGGGAGGGGGCGTATTGCGGAACCTGGCCTTGGGGCGGCAGGGAAAGTAAATCCGGCCCTGCCCATGCCACGTAGAACGAAATAAATGGCACTTACCTCAATGGAGGCTTCTTGATATAGAGCTTTCAGGACATCTGAAGACAGCTGCAAAGCCAACGAAATCTGCCAATGAAGTGAGAAAATATCGAACCATCTGAACCTCTCGGGTGGAACGAACATGTTTAAGGCAAGGCTAGGAATGGGACTTGGAAGTGAAAGAGCCCGAGAACCTACCACAC